ATCACAATATCTCAACTCAACATGATCTTCTCATTAATTAGGTTGAATAGCCTGTATGAATCAGTTTAATGATATCCTACTAGAATCATAGGTTCACTTTTGTCATCAAGCTTCCTTTTCCTTGCATCAGGAACATGCTGTTAACACATAGAGTTAAACACCTTTAGACGACTCACTGATGGTTGTTTTTCACTCCATACTTCTTCAAGAACCTTGTTCTTCAATTTCTTGGTTGGGCACTTGTTCAGGATATATATTGCAGTCGAAATAGCTTCACCCCATAAGGATTTTGGAAAATTCTTTTTCTTAAGCATGCATCTCTCCATATCCAATATGGTTCTATTTCTTCTTTCTGAAATTCCATTATGTTGAGGAGTATAAGGAGTTGTTACCTCATGATCGAGACCATGTTCTGCACATAAATCTTCAAACACCTTGGATGTGTATTCACCATCTCTATCTGTTCGCAGAACTTTGATCCTTTTCTCACTCTAGTTTTTGACAAGTATCTTGAATATCTTAAATATTTCGAATAATCTTTCCTTTCTCTTGATCACATATATCCACATCTTTTGTCTAAACTCATCGACAAACGAAATAAAATATATGTTTCCACTAATGGTATGTTCTTCGAACGGGCCACATATATCTGAATGTAACACTTCGAGTATGTAGGATAATCTTATTGGTATAGTTGAAACGAAATAATTTATGGATTGCTTTCTGACTAAACAAACTTCAAAGAGTTTGTCGAACATCTCAAGACTTGGGATACCAGTCACCATATCTTGAGTAATCAACTGATTGAGTGATCGAAAGTTCAAATGTCCAAACCTCAAATGTCATAACCAACTATCCTTGTGGTCGACAACTGTTTTCAAACATTGAACTTCTTTAGAACTGATCATAGTCTTAAACATCATGTTCTTCAATAGGTGAGATTTCAAGACCAAATTGTTCTGGGTGTCGGACAATATTAAAGCTCTATCTTTCATGACAACTGAGAAACCTTTTTCGACCAGTTGTCCAACACTTAGCAAGTTGTATTTCATTCCAGGTACATAAAGTACATCTTTGATAGATTTCCCCCATTAATCATTTGAAAAACTATATTTTCAATACCTTCTTCTTGCAATGAACTATAATCAGCAATTTTTACCTTGCTCTTCTTCGAGTCATTGAAATATACCAACCACACTTTTTGACCAGCCATGTGACTCGAACAGTCAGAGTCGAGGAACCAGATCCTGGATTTTACATGGTTATCTGCTACTGAAGCCATAACCACCATACCTTCATAATCATCCAAGTCTTACGTGCAAGGTTCGCTCTTTCGTCCTTGCCTGTTGATCCTTTGTCTTTCCTGCACCAATAATTCTTGGCGAAGTGACCCACTTTTCACAGTTGTAACACTGCACACCTTTTTTATATTCTTTGTTCTTTTGATAGTTTCCTCCTCTTTTTTTTAGGATTCAGAAGCCCTATCATTGACCTTATTCTTGTGGGGGTTCGACCAAGACTCATTGCCTTGAGTCTTGTCGAACTTGCCTTTGAATTTGTTGGAACCATCATTATTTTTCCATGACTGAGCCTGCAAACCTTGTATCAAATCTTGAACTCATTTCCTTTTGACAATCCTAATCTCATGCACTTCCAAAGAACCAACCAAATCTTTCAATTTAGGTTTCAAGCTAATTAGATTCTTGAATAGCTATGATAACGTGATCAAAGTGAGAGGTCAACATACGCATTACCTTCTCATCTATCACCTTATCAGTTAGGTTTTCACCATAATTCTTCACGAGATGGATGAGTTTCTGCACCTTTGACACATACTCTGCAATCTTTTCATCTTTGCCAATCGACAACAATTCATATTATCAGCGCAAGGTCTACAACTTGACAACCTTGACTTTTTCACCTACTTCATAGTACTTGACAATATTATCACATGCCTCCTTCGCCGATATAACATGAGAGATCCTATCAAAGTTCGCCACATTGATCATCATATGAATGCAATACGCAGCCTTGTAGTCCTTCTTCTTTTCTTCTTTAGGGACTATTTTCTGTGTGTCGGTTGTATCTGCAGCCAGCGCAAAACCGCCATTAGTAACCACTTCTAGGGTTTCATGAAAGCTAAACAGAGATTGCATTTTTTTCTCTCCATCGAATCCATTTTTTGTCGTGAAGAGTTGGAAGAGAGTTCAGAATGCTATTGTCACCATTCATCTTCGTAGTGATTGCTACTGAACAACCCACAATCTTGAAAATAAGTTCTCTGACGTGTGATTCTTGAAAACACGATCAAGAATCTAATCGGAGCTCTAGATACCAATTTGTTAGTGCGTGAGGCACTTTTAGTGAGGGGAGAAAGAGAGAATAAAGGAAATAAGAATTTTATTATGAATTGAATTGTACAAATAATGATACAAATATACCTATTTTTATATAATCCTAATTGGATTTGGGCCAATGTCGTCTTTGAGGGCGTGCAAAATAACCTACCGCATAGGGCCTCAAAATTTTCAAGGTTAACTTATGGTTAAGTGGGGCCTCATAAAATATTTGCTAGGGTAAATCGTGATTATATATGGCCTCTATTTATTTTCTCCTTGCTAAAGTGAGACTAACTTACACTGCGAATCCAAAAACTTGAGACGACTCTGATTTGGACTTGTACAACTTGGATTATATTTAAATATTAAATCTAATATTTCAACAATTTGAACTACTTTGCAACAACTTTTATCTCATGGTTGATTTAATGCATGCAAAATATGATTTAATGCGTAATATAATTTAAATGCATTGCATCAATTTTAAGATATATGCCAAAACTTAACTTAAAGCAGACTCAATAGCCAAAATAATACTCCCTCCGTAACGAATTATAAACAAATTTGACTTTTTTTATTACATTTGATAATTAATATATGTAGTTCATACATGGACTACATACATTGATTGTCAAATGTACCAAAAAAATTAAATTTACTTATAATTCGTTCCTGAGGGAGTAAACTATAAGATAGAAAAAGAGAAAAGCAGCAAAGTCAAAACTGTAGAGGGATAGAGTAATTTCAAATCTAAGACTAAGTTGTTTTAGTGGTTGCCTGTATTTAAGTATGATTATAGTGGATATCTATCAAATGTGAGGGGAAGGATTGTTGCTAAAACATATTAAAAATTCAACAGAAGTGTATTCGCATTTGAAGTGTTGAACGAGACTTAGAGGTGTTAGAGAAGATGCACCAGAGGGGGAACTGAAACATGAAGAGGAGGAAGGTGAGTCTACGATGGAGGAACTTGAGGTTGAAGCGAGAAAGGGTGAATTTTTGAAGTGACAGTTAAAGGAATCATCATTGAAATTTGAGGACCTTGTTTTATGAGACTCTCATCGCTTATTGGAAAATGAACCAGCGTAGCGTTGTCTAGAAGAATCTCAACTATTGATCGGAGATGTTCGTTGGTGATGCTTTATGCGCAAGTTGCCTACAAACCAACCATGGAGGTGAGAGTGAATGCATTAACAATTGGGAAATTGAAGAAATTTGGAAGAATCAAAGGGAATCGATATCCACATACGACGTCACTATTAGGTACTAGAATAGAAAATGGTTCTTATGTTGATCAAGATCATTGTGAAGATGCTTCTGGTGCGGTGGTAATAGTTCTCTTATGATTGAAGAGGGTACCTAAAAAAAAGGTCAGTAATCCGGAGTTATTATGAGATTGAGGTGGAACTTTAGAAGTATTAGTTAAATCATCCATGGATGTGACACATGATCATATTTGTATAGGAGAAACTGTTGTAACTTTCTTAGGGGCATATCAAGGGGGTATAAGGTATTCCTTGGAATACACTAAATGTATAGAAATTTGTCTGAATGGTATAAATTTTGGAGTCTTATACAAGATGTCCCAGGATCAAAATCTATAGTAGGTAGATTTTACACATTTTGTTCTTTTTTTTTATTACACAAGAAAAAACCTTTAGGGGACATTTGTTTCTTGGATTGTGAATTTGTTCCCTGGAATATAGGCTAGAATATTTTTCATTCAAATATTTATTTCAAGTTTTAAGAAAATATGTCTTGAACTTTTTATTTCCATAAATTTATTTTACACATGATTTTGTCACTTTCTATTCCCATGATATATGGTGAGAATCTTTATTTTTTACCAAAGGATGAGAAACTTTTATTCACATGAGAATAAGAACTATCCACCTATAACTTCCCCTTTCAAATATTTTAATTCTTTTATTATTTATTTTAAAATTTAAATTGAATATATTTTGTAAATATTCTTAGAAAGTTAAATTACTCACTAAACATGTAGACTGAAATAAAATTCCCAATAATAATCTATCCAAGAATAATATTTGGAGAATTATAATTTTAATCCTTGAAACAAACACACCATTAAATTTTAATATTTTACTTTGGTTATGGAAATACCTTGAATTTTGATCCTAGCTCTGCCCCTGAACCATCTCCAGATTGTTTGGCGTGGAGCGTGTGTGACTGTTGAGTGAATACCAACGAATTGAGCTTATGAATGGAGTTGGCCTTCTTTGACAAGTCTGAGGCAGCATTGTTTGTAAATATGTCAATATATTCTAGAGAAGGAAAGCAACAAATTTAATTTAACGAAAATGTGGTTATGACACATAAAAATATTTGGATTTTCTTAATCATAATTTTCTAAGACGTCAAATGTAAACACACAGCGTGTTAGATACGGTGATTCAAAATAATATCACCAATAATTTAATTCCTTCTATGAATTTTGATTGTGACCCCTTCCATGGAAAAGTCAAGTTTCCTGTGATAAACTATTCCCCAAAAGACTAGGTATGTAGGATTACACCTACCTAAATAATGATTGGTTTATAGCAAGAGTATACATTGGGTAGATATATAAATAATGATTGGTTTATAGCAAGAGTATACATTGGGTAGATATATAAATAATGATTGGTTTATAGCAAGAGTATGAGAACAAGTTCAATACAAAAGATGTTAATATTACTGGTTTATTATGGCTTCTTGTTTCTGAATTATGTTAATAGAAATGCTGTAGCTATTGAATGCTTAGCTTCTGATCAAGAAGCTCTTCTAGACTTCAAAAATGGGCTTCAGTATTCTCACAACCGCCTCTCTTCATGGAGAAACACCAACTGTTGTCAATGGCAAGGAATACGCTGTGACAACGTCACAGGTGCTGTCGTTGCAGTCGATCTCCATAATTCTTCCCCCAGCAAGAATGAAATGTGGAACATAAGTGGTGAGCTGAGACCATCTTTGATGAAGCTCAAGTCGCTAAGGCATCTTGACTTGAGCTTCAACACGTTCAGTGGAATACCAATTCCTAAATTTTTGGGATCACTGATGCATTTGCAATATCTGAACCTGTCAAAGGCTGGCTTTGCTGGTTTAATTCCACCTCATCTGGGAAACCTTTCTCACCTGCAGTCTCTCGGTCTCGCTGATTATAGCCTGCATGTTGAAAATCTAGAATGGGTGGCTGGCCTCGTATCTTTGAAACATTTTACAATGGATGGAGTCGACCTTTCATCCGTAGCGACAACAGATTGGGTTAGTGCATTAAACCAGCTACCTTCTTTAATGAAATTGCATCTATCTTCTTGCCAACTTTTCGGACAAATTCCATCTCCTCCATCTCTCAATTTAACTTCACTTTCTGTCATAGATCTTAGTTTTAATAAATTTTCTTCTATGATTCCTGATTGGCTAGTTAATATTAACACCTTACAACATCTTGACATAAGCAATAATAATCTGCATGGAAAAATACCACTTGGCTTAAGAGACCTACCAAACTTGCAGTATTTGAATTTAGGGAACAATGAAAATCTCAAAGCAAGCTGTTCTCAACTCCTGATGAAAGGATGGGAAAGGATACAAGTACTTGATTTGTCGATTAATAAATTACACGGGAGACTTCCTTCATCCATTGGAAACTTGACCTATCTTACTTACTTGGATCTTCATGATAATGCTATTGAGGGTGGTATTCCTAGTTCCATTGGTCAACTCTGCAACTTGAATATTCTTGATTTATCAAGAAACAAGATGACAGGAACTCTACCTGAATTTCTTCCTTCCCGAAAACCTCTTCCTAATCTTGTGTATTTTATCATGAGCTACAATCAACTTCATGGTAAAATTCCAGATTGGTTAGTTCAATTAGAAAGTCTAGCCGGTATAGACCTTGCACGTAACCAGCTTGAAGGTCCCATTCCTTTTTCCTTAGGGTCATTGCAAAATCTTACAACCTTGATACTTGAAAGGAATCAATTAAATGGTACTCTCCCAAAGAGCTTAGGACAACTTTCAAAGTTATCACGCTTAGATGTTTCTTCCAATCAATTGACAGGCATGGTGAGTGAAGATCATTTTTCTAAGCTAAGTAAGTTGAATTTTTTGCACATGTCTTCCAATTCGTTCACTATAAATGTCTCTGCCAATTGGCTACCGCCATTCCAAGTATATTCTCTTCATATGGGTTCATGTGCTCTGGGGCCTTCAATTCCCCCTTGGCTGATATCACAAACTAATCTCCGCGAGTTAGTGTTCTACAATGCTAGCATCCTCGGTTTTATTCCAAATTGGTTTTGGAATATTTCATCCGACTTAACATTTTTAAACATGTCTCATAATGAGTTACAGGGTCGGCTTCCAAATCCGTTGCCCAGGGCATTTTCTTCTAATCACATGATTGACCTAAGCTTTAATCTTCTTGAAGGCCCGCTTCCCGTTATAACACCTGGATTTTATTTGCTAGACCTCTCACACAATCTCTTTTCTGGTGAAATCCCATTGAACATAAGTCAACACATGCATTATGTGGGATATTTATCTCTTTCACATAATCAACTCCATGGAGAAATACCATTGTCTTTAGGAGAAATGTATTTTGTTACTGTCATTAATCTTTCAAACAACAACTTAACTGGAAAGATCCCTTCAAGCCTTGCAAATTGCTCTTATCTGGATGTACTAGACCTTGGGAATAATAGTCTGTTTGGTAGAATTCCAGGTTCCTTGGGCCAATTAAAAGAACTAAGATCATTGCACCTTAATGACAACAGCTTTTCAGGGGATTTCCCATCATCATTAACAAATTTGTCCATTTTGGAAACCATGGATCTTGGCTACAATTTTTTGTCTGGTACTATTCCAACTTGGTTTGGACAAAGCTTTCCATTTCTAAGAATTCTAATTTTGAGGTCTAATGCATTTTATGGAGAATTGTCACTTGACTTTTCAAAACTAGGTTCTCTACAAATCCTTGACCTTGCTAGAAATTACTTGAGTGGGAACGTTCCCGCTAGCTTGAGTTATCTGAAAGCAATAGCCCAAGTGCAGAAGAAAAACAAGTATTTACTGTATGGAAAATTTGAAGAACACTACTATGAAGAAAGCTTAGATGTGTATATAAAAGACCAACTATTAAAGTATACCAGGACTCTTTCCCTTGTTACTAGCATAGACCTTTCTGATAATAATTTCACCGGCAATATTCCCAATGAAATAACAGAATTGTATGGTTTGGTGGTTCTCAACTTGTCAACAAACCATATAACTGGCCAAATTCCTGAAACCATGTCAAATTTGCTTCAACTATCCTCTCTTGATCTCTCAAACAACAAACTTACTGGAACAATTCCTTCAAGTTTGTCTTCCTTGTCATTTTTGGGGTCCCTACATTTGTCCAATAACAACCTCAGGGGTGTCATTCCTTATACAGGTCATATGACAACCTTTGATGCTTTAACTTTTACTGGGAATCCTGGTCTTTGTGGTCCTCCACTCCCTGTGAAGTGTTCGGGTGATGATGACAACAGACATAGTACTAATAATGATACAAATGGTGAAGGTTTGTTTGATAACTGGTCTTACTTGAGCCTTGGTTTGGGGTTTGCAACAGGTATTCTTGTTCCTTATCTCATTATAACAATCAAGAGTTCTTGGGGAGATGTATATTTTGATTCTGTGGATCAAATTATTTACAAATTATTGAGGTTAACACGCAGACAAGGAAAAGATAATGGCCAAAGGAGAAAGATACATCAGAGGCAATAGTTTGTTGTATGTTTTAATGTAAGACAATAGTAGTGCTATTGTAATATATTAGTTAATAAGATGTGGTTTATTGTATCTCTTACACTCTTTGCAATACTTTTTATGCTGATTTTCACACTCAGTTTAAATTGGTGTTATTATTTTCTATTTGAATTGTTTTCACCAAATTTTTGTTTCCTGCAACCTGATCAGTCCATTTAATTGAAATATTAGTATAGTGTTCTTAATTTGGAAGTATGCATTATGTGATTTTGATTGGAACTACCGAATACCAATTTTGATCTGACCACCTATATATACCTTTTCGCACCCACAAAGGAGTATGGAATCATGATTGACTCATCCCTAATCAATCTACTCAGGTGTATTACTAAAAATAAGAGATTAAAAATGATACAAAGAATATTCCATATCTAATACACCTCCGTTATGGAAATTGGAGGTTGACGAATGGCTACAACTTTCATGTCAAACCTTTTAAGTAGAGATCTTAAAATTTTCCTTACAAGCTTTTTTTCAGACATATTTTCACCAAGAGCAAGGGAGTTGTTAGCAATGTCACAGAGTTGGACATTGAATTCAAAGATAATTTTGTCCTCGTGCATCTTCAAGTTTTCAATTGTTTAGGTAAGAAGTTGAAGTATTGACATATGAACTTTAGATGTACCTTCATGAGCTAATTCAAAAGTCTCTCAAGTCTCTTTAGCACTAGTGCAAGTATTATCATCAATTTCATTATAGATGGCATTAAGAGGACGAGAGTTTCGAAGAACATATTCGTCTTGAGAAGTTGACCAATCCCTTTTAGGCTTCACTATTTCAATGTTGTCTTCTAATAATCATAATTTGTACCATAAGGAATTGGTGGTCGATTAAGTTATCTTCCTTCTTTGGCTTTTTCCATCTTGAACAAAATGAATAGAAAACCTTAGAGCTCACCCAACCAAAACAGGGTGTCTACTGTGATTCCAATTGAAATTTTGTTCGATCAATGTCAAGATGTCACACACAATATTGAGACAATACGATATACAATAAGAAAATATCGAGTAAAGAAATTTAATAACACATATAATTGTTAATCCAAATCGGTGCAATGTCACCAATGTCTAAAGGCATTAGCTCAATGAAAGGAAATTCATCAAATCAGTAGTCAATAGTACATAAAGGTCTCATCTGAACTCGCCTAATTTGTTCCGTTTTCCCGATACTTTCACTCAAACACTCTCACATGTGTTTGCAAGATAACTATTATATGTGGTGTGATTTAAATCACAATTACAGACCAAATACTCTATCCTTCTAAAATAATAAAGATACTCAAGAATAGAGTATTACAACAAAAACAAAGACTCAATAGAAAGAGAATATGGCACACTAAAAACTTCAAGAGATGAGTCTTCAAAAAAGGACAATCATCTCCTTAAATAGTAACCATAATTCAACCGAAAAACACATTAGGTTTCGACAAAAACTATTGAATCCCAAAAACAAAAAAAGTTTAATCTTTTTCATTAAAACCAAATATGAATCTTTTATAAAATCAAATCCAATTACATATTTTTCAGACGAATTTAAGGTTTAACAGACTCTTTACCAAATAGATCCATATTAAAAATATTTTCTAAATAATACACTTTTGATAGAACTAAAACGGAAACAAATATGGAACAAAATATTCACACATAGTCAGGACACCTTGCTTAACATGTTGCTTACAAAAAAAATTAGCTAATAAAATGTAATAACATCTTCTAATTTGGGGTTTTGTTTCATTTTGCACAAGCACTTTAAGATAGATTGGAGAAACAAATTTTTGTGACATCTTGAACAACTGCCACAGTAGGTGTTGCTGCCTCCAGATATTGAGCAAGATGTTGTGACATCTTTGCCAACTAATATATTAGATTCTGTTGTTACTTTATTGACATATTTGATTTGATTTTATGAGATTCTCTTGGATACATCTCACTTATTTGCGCAGGTTAAGAAGATTTTATTTGGAACAATTGGTTTTATCTCTAAATGTACATTACTTTCTAAAATTGGATATTGAGACAATTTAGGAAACTTATGTTATTTTGTTCCAAGATTTAAGGAGATTTTTATGCATAATTGGTGCAGCTATCAGCTGGTAAATCTACAACAAATTAGGCAGAGAATTCGAAGCCCCATGGGCAACTGAGGTCTTTAAAAGGAAAAACCTAAACCTAATGAAAGTGTAAGAAAAATAAGGAAAAGTTATTTTACAAAAGTCTTAGGGTTTGGGAGTCTTTTTAGAGTATTGTGTTTTTGTGTATGTCCCTCATGTATCATGTTGATACATAGAGTTTGACTGATTGTTCATTGTTCATTGTTTTCAGTCAAAAGCTCTTAAGCAGAACTGAGTATTGTAATTGCAAGTGTGTTCTTCTCTTTTTGGTCTTTTGTTATTATCGCTAAGGTGATTGTGGGAAGTGAGAGGGGGTTCTCATATCTAGGATATTCTTAAGTAGAAGTTGCATAAGGTAATGATTAAGCAATAAGTTATAAACTAGGGTTGTTTAGCTTTGAACTAATACTATCATAGTGGATTTCCTTCATTTCTTAGATGCCCCCATAGTAGGTGATGTTTCACTGAAATGGGTTAACAATTTACTGTGTTATTTACCTTTTGCAATTTAATTATGCATAATTGACTAGTTGGTAAAATTGTTTTATCAGCAAATAATGTCTTAACATATGTATGGATATTGTGTTTGGTGTTGAGACAACAGTCTTGACATCTATATTGAAAGTGTCAGAATTTCAATTGGCATCATAGTTGGCACCCTATTCTGTTTTTGGGTGACCTCTAGGGAGAATATTTTCTGGTACCATGGACAAGGAAGGAGGATACAACAACATAACACCTCTGTTAAATGGTGTAAACTATGACTATTGGAAGGTCAGAATGGTAACGTTTCTGAAATCCATGGACAAAAAATATTGAAAGGTTGTTTTAAAAGGATAGAATCATCCTATTGTGAAGGACAAATATAAGAATGAAGCCAGAAGAAGATTGGTCTAAGGAGGAAGATGAATTAGCTCTTGGAAATTCCAGAGCTTTGAATGCTTTCAATGGAAAGGACAAGAATGTTTTCAGGTTAATAAATTCATGTAATGTAGCTAAAGATGCTGGGGAAATCCTCAAGACAACTCATTAAGGCACATCCAAAGTGAATATGTTCTGACTTTAACTTTTCAGTACCAGATTTTAGAACCTAAAGATGATGTTAGAACAATGTTTGAATCTACTACCCTATATTTGAGTTTTGATGATAACAAAGTGAAAAGATATAGTATTTATATGTTTCATGTTTGAACTATATGCTGCCTAAAATTACTATGCTCTGACTTGCAGATACGCTGATTAAAATAAGCAAGATCACTTATTCAGCATCAGAATTTGATTTCATACACCAGCATCAGAAGTTGCTGAATCAGAACGTCAAGATCAGATGATCAACTCACGTACATGCTGAAGCTTGATGAACAGAACTGCGCGTAAACACTCTGATACAGAAACACAATAGTTCATCAGCAGCGAAGCAGAATCAGAATGAGCCAAGCCAGAACGTGCATTGAAGAAGCAACGGTACTGTGCATTGAACGCTAATTAATTCCAACGGCATCATTCTAGACAAGATCTGCTCAAAAAGGAAAGCTTGTTATTAGCATTGAATCAAGAATATTGCATTCAACGTTCATCTTCTCAAGTGCTATATAAACAAGGCTTCGAAGATTATAATGGCTAATGCTCTCCAAATCTCTACACGCACAAAGCTGAACAATAATCTTCATCTACCAGTTTTGCTAAACCACAAACTCTGATACTCCATTAGTGTTTAGCAATCTAGTTTCTAAGCTTCATTTTGTGTATACATCACAGTTGTGATAAAGTTTTGTAGAAAACATTCACACACATTGTTTTATACCTTTGTAAGAAAGTGTTGCCTTGACAAACCGGATTGTGGTTTGAATCAAGAAGGCTTTAGCAGTTGTTAAAGCAGTCTGTAATATTCAGTTGAATATAGTGAATTAAGACCTCGTTGGAGAGAGGCGAAATCACCTTGACGGGTGGACTGGAGTAGTTTGAGATCAAACGAACCAGGATAAAAATATCTTGTCAATTGCTTTAAGATTTCAGTTTTTACAATTCAACCCCCCCCCCCTTCTTGTGTTTTTCACCCCTTCAATTGGCATCAGAGCGCCTGGTTCTGAGCTAAAACACTTAACCGTGTCAGTACAAGATCCAGCGTCAGAAAAACACAATGGCAGGAAACAACTCTCATTTCAGCAATGACAACAATGAGGACAGAGACAGATTCAGCGGCAAACCTCCAGTCTTTGATGGAGAAAACTTTGATTACTGGAAAGACAGAATTGAAAGCTTCTTTCTAGCACATGATGCTGATCTGTGGGATATAGTGACAGATGGATACACGCACCCTGTGAATGCTAGTGGTCAGAAGATTGATAGAAAATCAATGACTGATCAACAAAAGCGTGATTTCAAGAATCACCATAAGGCCAGAACCATCCTCCTCAGTGCCATCTCCTATACTGAGTATGAAAAGATCTCCAACAGAGACACTGCTAAGAACATCTTTGATTCTCTCAGAATGACGCATGAGGGCAACGTTCAAGTCAAAGAAACAAAAGCTCTGGAGCTCATTCAGAAGTATGAGGCGTTCAAAATGGAAGAATCTGAATCCATTGAAACTATGTTCTCTAGATTCCAGATTCTGGTAGCTGGTCTCAAAGTTCTGGACAAAGGATACTCTACTGCTGACCATGTCAAGAAGATAATCAGAAGTTTACCCAAGCAGTGGAGGCCTATGGTTACTGCTCTGAAGCTAGCGAAGGATCTCAACAAAATCACTCTGGAGGAACTTATAAGCTCCCTCAGAAGTCATGAGATAGAGCTAGAAGCTGATGAGCCTCAGAAGCAAGGTAAGCCTTTAGCATTAAAATCTAAC